CCAGATTTGGCTACGGGACTTTCATGACCCCAAATCATTTACCAGCAGAGCAGGGGGTGGAAAGAACAAGAGGCTTTATAGATAGAAAGCTCTGGGCATGAACCCAGCTTTGTGTGACCCCAGGCATCTTACTTCACTTCTCCAAGCCTCATTTTCTCATCTGTAAGTTAACACCTGCCCTGCAGGGCTGTTTTAAGAAACACAAAGAGTGCGGGAAGTTCCTGGCCCAGCGGGGATGCTCAACACTCCTTGATTACCAATAATTTTCCTCCTTATCACCATAGCGAGGATACTCCAGAAACACACTCACTCACCTATGTGATGCAGAATCACTTAAGTGCAGGTACTGCCTGGTCTGTGTGTGTAGCCGGTCAGGGTTTTCATTCTCTGGCACGTCCGTGGGTCTGCCTTAGATTCTAAGGCCCCAGGGATGGGAGCGGAGTGAGGGCAGGGCAAGGTCTGGATAACGTAGCAGAAGAAGGCACGTTCCCTTTGGAGATGAGGTGCCTGTTATTCTTCTGGGAGATGTGGTTTACTATCACAATTCAGTGGGTTAGCCAGCTATGTGAATGATGCAGAGGCCCCAGATCTAACCCTGACTCAGCTACTTCTTCCAAAGCCATGGAGCCCACACCCCTTCCACAGCCAGCTGTTTGATGAATAAAATGATCACCAGTCACAAAAAGCAAGTTACCACAACCTACTGGCACTACCAGAAGCAAATTAAAAATCTGTTCCTCAATCCATCTTGGATGTAATGGGGATAGGAGTTTCAACTTTATTTGTAGGAAGGATGGCATTGAAGTGTTCAATATCAATTCATATGCCAACACCCCTCTTTCCTGCAACCCCAGCCTTTCGTAATTATTAGTGGAGCCATCTGCTCAGCCAAATGAAATGTGCAATCTCCTGTACATATAATTAGTGAAGTCATTTTAATTAATTAAACAAATTAATTAATTGCAAGGAGAGTGCAACCATATCTTAGGAACTGCATCCAACTCATTTATTCTGCATGTGTCTAGTGGGCTCCTAGTGAGGGCAGAGCCCCACACTCATGCTCTGAGAAGATGAAGACGCTCCTGGCATCTTCACCATCAGTAGAGATGGAACCCGATATGTAGTCGCCGATGACCATCCATTCTGCTTAGGGTGACCAATTCATCCTGGTTTTACTGGGATTGTCTTGGAATCAAAGTTCAGGTCGGGAGAACCCCGCTGATCCCAAACAAACCAGGTCATCCTGCTTCTACTTGACCTGAGTCCAAGTTCATCACTGGACACTTACCACTGGAAAGACAATGGCTAATATTGGGCATCCTGCAACATGGTCCCCTGCCACAGCAGACACTGCTAATCGATTAACAAGCTCCTACTTGCTTCCAGACTGAGCCAGCTCCAAAGCCATCTCACCTTTGCTCCAGGCAGCCACTATTAATCACCCTGAATAGGAGGGTCAGAAAATTAATTTTCCATCTATGCCCTAGAATCATAGAAGCTCTAGGCTAGCAAAGACTTTCGAAGTCTAGTAATCACTCATCCAGAACTTAAATCCCCTCTAGAGTATCCTCCACAAGTTAACCAGCCAGACTCTCCTTAAATACTTCTAATGACGGGGAACACACTACCTCTTAAAGCAACTCTTCCTATCTTCAATAGTTTTGGCTGCCAAACTCCTTCCTTAAATTACTAAAGTGTCTCTCTTATCAGTCTCTTTTTGGGGACCACATTATGGTGCTTCAAATAATGAAACACAGTTACTAAATTCCTCCCAAGTCTTCCCTTTTCCAGGCCCAATTTCCTTATATGTTACTCATATAACTTGGTTTAAAGTTGGAGTGCTGTCCCAGTCTTACAACAACCCACCTAAGCCCCTCTTGGGGTGTGGTACCCAAGGATGCCCCCCATGCCAGTTACCTTGCTCCTGGCAGATTCTCTACTCTGCTATAGCATCTGGCAGCTCCACCAGGCACTGGCTCATACCAACACCTGACGCCGTTTCTGAACATGCTACTGCTGAGCCACAGCTCCATCCATCTGCCACAGGACTTCCCGGGAGCTTAGCAGTCCCGCGACAGGAGAAACCCCATGAGATGGTACGAAAATATCGTATAAATTACCGACTGCCAATTTCCCGGTTACAAACAAGTTGCTCTAAAGGTTTGCTTAAAAGTAATTGTTCAGAATCTTGACAGCATGTAGCCACAGAAACCATATTTTAAATGATGGTTAGACTCCCAGGCCAGCCCACAAAGGCCTTCTGAACTCATAATGTACCTGCAGCATAAAACTAACAGTGCTATTTTAACTACACGCAGCCACCATTTATACTATGGTTTCCACGGTAACACACTCTGCGCTCCATTTCAGAGAACCCGACACAAAGTAAACCTCGTGCTGCATTTACTCTAGGTTGTCCCTGTGGGTGGCGGGGTGGATGGGGGTGCTGACCTCAGGGGAGAAATGACCCTAGTCACTGGCACCCCAGCTCCGTTCAGACCCACAGGTCCTTTAAAGTGTGTGGTCCTAAAGGTCCAACGGCCTACACACATGAAGGCCTGTCAGGACCAGGTGAGCTGTGAGGCTGCTGCACGGAGGCCATTGGGAAGGAGGCCAGTGATCATGGTTATGGGGTTTGGTTGTGTTTGTGGTGCTGGTGCTTTTCAACCATCTCCCGCAGACACAAGAACGGGGATGGTTCTCAAAATCAGAAATTTAAAACTAGCAAAGTCACTAATTATTGCGTCCCTCTCTAAGTCCTTAAGAGGGATAGTTACACGTTGGTGTTTACGGCGATTGGAGGGGAGGGAGAAGAAGATGCATTGACACCGAATGGACAGCAGTGGGGATGCCGAGCAGAGCTTCTGAGTCTCAGTTCTTCCTTGTGGAAGTTCCACACCCTTCCTTCTTTCCGCCTTGACCAACCAGGCCACCCTCCCTCCCTGCCCCCGGCGACCCCGAGAGCTGCTTCTCTTCTGAGGAGACTATGGAGCAATCAGGAAGGTAGTGGCCATGTCTCTAGGGCATCCGCCTGAAACAGGAGCAGCTGCACCCACCTGGAGGAGGGCAGGTGTTTGCATGGACAGAGCTGGGCCTGGACCTGGAGACTCCGCCACCCACTAGTGCCCTGGACTCGCTAACTACGGAGGCCAACCTCCTCCAGCCTCAGCTTCCTCATCTCTACACTGAGCACAGTGTCCTCCTCGCAGGACTGTCGTGACTAATAAATGAAAGGCAATAATAATAATAACTGAACTATTTGGTAAGAGGTCTTCCCAGCACTGCTCTATATGCACTTGGATGAACTCATTTAAACTGTACGAGAACCCTATTATTTCACAAAGGAGGAAACGGAGGCCCAGAGAGGGTGGGTTATGTGCCCCAAGTTGGGCAGCTAATAAGCAGCAGGACCAGGATAATAGATAAAAAGCTGCTTTGAAACTCTGTCATGTTACCTAAACAGTGGTCATTCTTATCGTTAATGACCGGCATAGGGCCCTGCCTGAATGCCCAGGTCTGGATTTTCCACCACAGGGGACCTGAGTGCGTCCTGCCCTGAGCTCCCAAGGCTCAGCTGGTGTCTCCTCCAGCCCCAACTCTGGACCTCGCCCTGGCAGCCTCTCAGTAGTGCACGCTGTTCGCTAAACATTATAGCCCCCGTGCTGGTTCAAAGGCCTCCCCCTCACCTGACCACCCTGTTTAAAACCGCGAAATGCACCTTACCCCCCTCACTCCCTCTCACCTTCCTTATCTCATTTTTTCCCATAGCACTTATCACCTACTAACCTACTACATATCGTATTTATTTATTGCTGGTCTCCCCAACGAGACCATAGGTTCCAGGAGGGCAAGGAATTTGATCTCTTTTGTTTCACGCTTTACCCCCAGCACTGAGAACAGTGCTAGACACATGGGCAGGCACTCGGTGAGTATCTGCTGAATGAATGACAAATTCATCTTTATTGACATAGCAAAAATGTCCATAACATCTTGTTAAGCAAAAGAGAGCAGGCCCCTAAATTTTATATGAAACGATCCCACCGGAGATTCCCTGGTGGCACAGTGGTTGAGGGTCCGCCTGCCGATGCAGGAGACATGGGTTCGTGCCCCGGTCTGGGAAGATCCCACATGCCGCAGAGCGGCTGGGCCCGTGAGCCATGGCCGCTAAGCCTGCACGTCCGGAACCTGTGCTCTGCAACGGGAGAGGCCACAACAGCGAGAGGCCCGCGTACCGCAAAAAAAACAAAACAAAAAAAACAAAAAAAACCGATCCCACCTCTGTAAATATATCATGTGTGTGTCTGAGCACGTGTGTGAAGACACAGAAAAAAAATCTAGAAAGATACACATGAAAATGTTCATTGTGACTGTTTCTAAGGAGTAGGAGTAAAAACAGTTTTAACTTCCTTCCAAATGTTTTACAAAGACCATGCATTATTCCTATATGTTTCTAAACCTATTTATAGTTGAAAACGAACACACTTGTGCACGCTTGTGGGCAGACACACAGCAGAAGAGCTCAACTAGTTATTAGCGACTGAAGCAGGAGGTCAGGACTGGTGGTAGCACAGAGCACCCGCCTCCCAGATGGTGGGCCACACAGCATCCCCACTCATCCATCAGCGGCGCCGAAAGAAATCACAGGATTAGGTCTACAGGGTCTGGCGCTCAGCAGCCCCTCCTTCAGAACTCCTCCCAGATCCAACCCCACCTTCCTGCCTCTCTGGAGCAGTCTCAGAATTGTTTAATCCTGTGATTATTTGTAAATGACACCTGAAGGTTCCAGAACATGTAAAGCAAATCTCAGACATCAAGTGAGGCACTCTGCAACAAAAAAATTCACTTTGCAGTTAAAAAAAAAAAAAAAAAAAGCCTCATTCTCTCATGCCTGTGTTAAAGAGGAAGTCAGGAGGGCTGAGTTCCACCCAAGACCCTGGGCCTGGCTCGGGCACAGCCTCCGACGTGTTCTGCATACAGGGGCTCACAGGGCACCCACCCACGGACTCACACGCTCCGTCACACACAAATCACCGAGGCACTGACCACAACGACATGTACAAAGTGAGGGCCAGCTGTGGGCCCGGCGCAAGGCCAGGTGCTGTGAGGTGGAAGGAAAGGCAACCTAAGATGAGACGTCTGCCTTCAAGGAAGGGCTAACACACGAGAAAGACGGAAGAAAACAATCACCCTTAATGGAGCGGCACTTACTAGCCGAGTAGTAAGAGTTCTGAGAACAAAGCGGTAAGTGCTGGAAAGGAGGCTTCGGGGAAGAGGGCAGGCTGCACCCAGGCCTCGCTGAAAGCCGGGCCGTGGTGCGCCCACAAGAGAGGGGCTGAGGGCTGAGGCTGGGCCGAGGCAGGTGGGCCTCAGTGCCCGCCACACGCCCTGCCGCCTCCCCTGCCCTGACTTCCAGGCAGAGCCTGCTGCTCTGAGCGCCGCATGTGTGCGGAGAGCCGCCCCCAGAGAGGGCACACGCTCCCCGAGCTAGATGAGTTTTACCTTGAAGTGACAGAGTCTTTCACAGCTCGGTTGATTTCAGGAGGCAAGTGGAGCCAGAGAGGAAGAGAAGGCAACACTTGCAGCTGTGCCCTGAGCCAGGGACTCTGGTCAACCCACAGTGATTCAGAAAACGGTCTGAAAGGCCTCTGAGATGCAGGCAAGTCTCATGGCTTAGCTTGAAAGAGCTGGGGTAGAAATAGCAGAGGTGGAAAGACAGAAAGAAAGGAGGAAAAAGGCCAAAGCAAGGACCTCAAAAAGGGAAAAGAAATCAAGAGAGCTGGCCAGGGTAGGGAAGGGAGCAAGTGGCATCTAAAGAGACCATCTGTCCTGGTTTGCCAAGGATGGAGGGGTGGCCCAGGACTCAGGACTTCCGGGACGAACACCAGGACAGCCCCAGGCAAACCGGGACGAGTTGGTCAGCCCAGTGGTAGCATGTCACTCTGGGATGCTAAGGGGTTGCTGACCCCTTGGCGCTCTCCCTCCCTCCTTCGTGGACCTGTCACTGCCCACTGGCACCCCCAGGGCAATGGGAAGGATAAGGAGGTCAACATACGGACGTGACCATGTGCCTCTCCTTCTAGCTTGAGTCCTCTCATCTCAACCATGCAAATGTCTGAAAGCGTTCAGGCAGCAGAGAAAATTCTTTACTGTTGTTGTTAAAATAACACTGAGAATCACAGCCACTATCCTTTACTCAACTGTTTCTCAGGCATTGGGCTCACCAGCTGCCCAGCTGGGAGAGGACATGGCGCTCCGCCCTCAGGGAAGTGCCATATCTATACACGGAAGTCAGAAGCAGCAGAGGGGCTGTCACACCCAGCTCCTGAACGCATCCCTGTCCAGTCTCCATCTCCCTCTGCCCTCTCAGAGCTTCATTTCCCATCTGCCTCTCCCCAAGGCAGGTCCTGAGGGGGTAAAATCCACTCACTCAACAAGGACTTACTGAGCATTTACTGTGTGACAGACACTGTTAGGGACCGTGGAGAACACAAAGAAGTTACGGTGCAGTGGTGGGGGGCAGGGTGGGGTGGCAGGGTGGGGCTGGTGTAAGAGAAGGGGAGAATCATTCAATAGTTGACACTTAGTCACACTGCCCTTAACAGATGCCAAGAACTGTACTGGGGGAATAGAGACAAGTAACCAGACAACTGCAAAACCATTCTAAGTACAATGATGGTGATGTGGGGGCACCTACCCCAGTTACTGAACCAAATACCAACCCACCTCACTTTAGCCTGGAGGTTAGTGCTATGGAGAAGGAAGGGAGGGAGGGGGGGAGAGGGAAGGGGGAGGAAGGAGGAAAAGAAAGGAAAAAAAAGAAAAAAAGAAGGAAGGAAAGGGAGGGGGGGGGAAGGGAAAGGGGGAGGAAGAAAGGAAAGAAAGAAAAGAAAGGAAGGAAGGAGGGGAGAAAAGAAGGAAGGAAAAGTAAGGAAAAAAAGAAGAAAGGAAGGAAGATAGGGCGGGAAGACGAAGCACTGACCTGAAAGAGCGAACCAAATGATTCAGGAGATAAAACCATACATAAGACACAACTAGTGTACCACAGGATACAGGGCAAAGTGCTAATCTGGAATACAGACTTTCAGCACAAAGAGACACAGAGCTGGAGAAAGTCCACAGCTTCCCAGAGGAAGTACAAGTAAAACCTGAGATGAAAAACTGATGAGGGAGAGTTTGCCAGGCAGGGAGAAGACAATAGGCACTTGTGATTTTTCCCAAAAAATGAAAAAGCAAGTGTATGGTCGTTACTCAAAATGTTTCAGAATGGCACACTTGCTCACAGGTCTTTGGTTTAAGTACCTGGGGACCTTGCCAATGGTGACTTCCACAAATGTAAGTTACATTTAAGTGGAAAGACAGGCATCAGATCTAATTTCAGCCGTCCGGGCTAAGGAGGCAAGGGATCGAAACATACTTAATTTTGTAATGCAGATCCATGTGCATGCTCCTACACACACACACACACCCCTCAGCCCCTCTCTGTATGTCTATCCTCAAGTGATCCAAACTCCATCTTTCTGTTAGAAGAACTCCATAATTCAGGGAAAGGAAAACTGAATTATTAGGGACCATCTACAAATTAATAACTGGGAATCGACCACATTGTTGGTTTGCTGTGATGATATTCACAAAGTATGAATAGAAAGGCCACGTGTGGTCTGATGGTGCACTGGCTGGTCAATAAGAAGTTAACAACTATTGACTGACTGTCTATTTAATGAAGAGCCCTGAGTTGGTATGGGGGGGCGGGGGCGGTGAGGAGGAGACCGTGCACGGGATCAGTAGGACGAAGGCAGGATACAGTGAAAACAAATGGAAGACTCATAAGACACTGAGCCTGGTCCTAGCTCCACCACCGACAAGGCCCTGGGTGAGTTGATCCCACGGTGGACTTCACTTCCTCATCCACAAACATGTACTACCTACCTACTTCTCATTTACTGAAGTGAGAAAACGTAAGCCTGAATGCTGGGAAAAGCAGAAGTCTATGCCTCTATAGTGTCGTGGGATTTGGAGGTGCCTCCCCAGCTTCCCTACCCTACTTTCCCAACAGTCCCCTGAGTCCCCCAGGCAGCCATTCATCCCATCCCCTCCACACGGTACTGGTTCAGGAAAGCACAGGATCTAAGTCGAGCCAACCAGGGGCAACTAGACTCAATTACAAGCCTTTGGCTGACCCGTCAAAGAAGCTCTTTCTCCCACTGGATGAGAACAGGAGCCTGGGCTGACATCTTGGGGGCAGAAGGGGAGGTCATGCCTGAGAAAGGAACTAGCAATGAAGGAGAGAAACTGTGTCTGAGGCACCTCATTTGAGCCTTTGATAAAGCCTCACCTGATGCCAGGATGGGTACTCCATCACATAAGCCAATGCATTTTCTGTTTTTGCTTAAACCAGTTTGGACTGGCTTTCAGTTAATCTGTCACCTAACTGACATAAAATGAGAGAAAATATGGCTAATCAATGTTATAAACCTCTCTAGTCCCTCACCAAATCCATAAACTATCCAGGGATTCGCTTCCTACCTAGTGTCCTCTGTCCTCCTGAGGGGGTGAACACATTAAGGGGGTCACTCAAGGAACAAAAAGAAGAAAGGCAATCATAAGCAGTTGAGTCTTCAGTGATTACTGGGCCTGCCTTTGTTTGCTTCCTGTCCTCTGAGACCAGTGAGGGTCCTAGTGATGGAAGAGATAGAAGGGGGAAAAAACCCCTCCATGATAAGCTGAAGAATCAGTTTCCAGCTCAGCTCTACTTTTGCAGGTTTCTTCCAGATGTCTACTTATTCTCTTTCATGGTAACCACTGAAGAGCCCAGAGGAACAATACAGGTATCCCACTGATTTATTTTATATCTTAAAAAATTACACAGGGCCTGCAGTACTGAGCTCATGTTCAGATTAAGTTTGCTGGAAATCTAATTTGGGATGAGTAATTTAATTTAGCTACTACAATTAAAAGTGGCGCAGTATTTGTGTTTTAGAGGAAAACCGTATAAGATTCATCTAATCTTATTAGGTGAATATCACATTTAGATCACATTATATCTGGAACAGACATACACTGAATTGATTTCTTTCATAAATCACTCGAAAGACCAAAAGAGACTAACCTTCTCCCCGGTCCCCGCCCACCCACCTGACACAGGTCAGAGCAGGTGGTAAAAGTAAAAGAGGCCTCGTGGAGAACCCCGCTGCAAAGTCCTGGAATTCATGCACCCAGAACACCACCTACAACAAACTCTTGCATTTTGCAGTGGAGTATACTGAGGCATTGATGGACAAGAGACTTGCACAGGGTCGCAGTCAGTGAGTGGCAGAGCTGGGACTACAGCTCAGCTCCCTGACCCCTAGTTTGGGTCCCTGCCACTCTACTACATGTGTTTTTAATAAGACCTAACATGAAAAACAGCCAGAGGGCCTCTGAGACTCCACTGCTACTCACTTAGCTAAAACCACGGAGTCGTCAGATACCATCTGACGTCTTCCTGCCTCTCCTAAGTATCCTGGGAAGATACAGAAGTAGGTCTCAGTATCTCCATGGGTGACTTAGACCGGCACCCCAAAGCCTTCTTGTCAAGTCCATTTTCTTGATGAATACTTTCAACCCCCTGACTCCCAGATAACTAAAATTCACATTAAGAACATTCAAACCATATGATGGGTCAGAAGAAAAGAATCTGCATTGCTTTTTTTAAATGGTATTAATCTCAGGAGTACTGCTAACTGGGCATATTCAGCGGGTGTGATATCACACATCAGGGTTCCAAGTATAGAGTTTAATCTAAAAAAATTAGGTTATGAAGCAAAATCGAGGCAAGGAGAAGTTAGATAAAAATATTTGTAACGTATGACAAGTTAACACATACTGCATAAAAATCTCTTATCAGTGACTGAAAAAAGATGGAACACTGCAAAATAAAAATGAAAAAGGATGCAAAGAGGCAATTCACATACACACACACAAAGATTACCAATGGCCTCATGAAAAAATGTTCAAACCTATTACTAAGCAAAGCTTTCAAATTCAAACAATGCAATACTGTTCTCAACAAATTGGCAAAAACCAAAACCCAAGTATAATGCCTAGGACAGTCAAGGGTGCTCTGAAATAAGAATCCTCAAACACCACTGACGACAGTGTAAATTAGTCCACATTTCTGAAGGCCCATCTGGTAAGATGCATCACCAGCCTTAACACTAAGCAAGGATCTTCCCTGAGGAAATGCTCAGAGGAATATTCAAAGATATACGTACAAGGGCAGTTACAGCAGCACTATTCATAATAACAGAAATCTAGAAAAACCTAACTACTATATAGAAAAATGGCAAAATGAATTATGATATTATCAACACAAGGAATAATATGTAGACATTAAAACTCATGTTTTTGAAAACTTTAAAGACACAGGGAAATGCTCACAAAATGATGCTAAAATTCAACACCCTTAATAGGATAATTCCATTTTGTAAAGAAAATATATATCACATATTTTATAAGCATTATAAATGCAATATATATTTTTATATGTATAATATAACATATGCATTATAAATGCAAATTTATTGCACTATAAGTGCAATAAATGGTGGCAGATTCAGCTAAATATCCAACAAATATTCACACTCCTTTTCAGAGTGTAGAGTTTTCACTGGAAAGTGGCTGCCCAGCCAGGGACTTCATTTCCCAGCATCCCTTGTATCCCCATGGCACCATGTTACTATTCCCACCAATGGAATACAGACAGAAGTGATGTGCAGCACCTCCAGGCTAAGGTGGTTAGAAGGTGATGTGCCTTCTCCGTGCTTTCTTCCTCCATCTGCCAACTAGATGCAGAGGACCCCAAAGCCCTAGGGAATGAAAGAGCCATAAGATGGAATGAGCCTGGGCCTCTGAATCACTCATTGGAGTGCTGACCACCAATCAGGAGCACCTATGTTGGACAGAGTAAAAAATAAACCTCTACTGTGTGAAGTTATAATTTGGAGTTTTAATTGTTTCTTCAGCAAGTGTTACTCTAATACACACATATAGAAAAATTACTGAAAGGTAAACTACCAAATTTAATCTGATGCACTGTACGACAAAGTATAAGGTAAATTATTTTCAAAAGTGTATTCTTTCCACCACAAACATGTCATATTTTATAACCAATAAAGATATTAAAAAATAGGGGGCTTCCCTGGTGGTGCAGTGGTTGAGAGTCCGCCTGCCGACGCAGGGGACACGGGTTCGTGCCCCGGTCCGGGAGGATCCCACGTGCCGCGGAGCGACTGGGCCCATGAGCCATGGCCGCTGAGCCTGCACGTCTGGAGCCTGTGCTCCGCAATGGGAGAGGCCACAACAGTGAGAGGCCCGCGTACCGCCATAAAAAAAAAAAAAAAAAAAAAAAAGGGACTTCCCTGAAGGTCCAGCAGTTAAGACTCCATGCTTCCACTGCAGGGGACAAGGGTTCTATCCCTGGTCGGGGAACTAAGATCCTGCATGCCATGAGGTGTGGCCCCCCCCAAAAAATATATTAAAATAAAAAAGCAGACTTTAGAGGGCAATGCTATATAATGAAAACTCTCAATAAAGTACTGAATAAGGTTACAAAAATTAAAATGTAGAAAATTATAAAGACTCAAAGAAAAGAAATCTAGATGTATAACACTTAAAAATCTACTAAAACAATTCCAGACAAATGATTGTTCAAAAATGATCCAAAGTTAAATGAAAACAAACTAGGAAATACTGCAATTTATACAATATATGAATTATTAGTTACCTTTAATATGTAAAGAGCACTTATGAAACAAGTGAGGGATACATACAATAACTGGGGGAAAAGATATAAACACCTAGTCACAAAATAAAAAATACTAACATACACTTATAAAAAGACTTTCAAGCTCACTAATAACCAAATAAATGCAAATTAAGATCATCTTTATCCTTCTATCAGATTGGCAAATATTTAAAATATTGTGAATATAGCATTCAATGTGGCTGAAATTATGATGAAATGGAGGGAGTTCAAAATGGTATCATATTTTTAACAAATACTTTGGCATGATAGGAAAAAAAAGACTTTGTCCACATATTGTCAAAAGAAGTAAACAAGTATGCAGAATCGCTTCAATGGGGAAAAAAGATGAAACAACTTAGATACCCATCTGTGAGGTACCTGTTAGATAAATAAATCATGGCATGTGTGTGTATATTTACATATTAGAATAATAGACAGACATAACTTTAAATTATGATGAATATCTAAATGTACTAAAGTACAACAATGCCCACAATATAAAAAAGCAGTATACAAAACAATACAGATAGTTTAATTGCTTAAAAGTATATATATATAAGAACTTATGTTGTAAGTGCATAAGGAAAAATATAGAATGATTTTTATCAAAATGTTGTTCTCTCCAAGGGGTGGAACTATGGGTGACTTTCATTTCCTTTTTTATACTTTTCTATATTTTATATGTTTTCAACCATGAAAATATATAAATTTTATTTCTATGATTTATTATGAAAAAAATAATAAACATATACAAAAGTAGCAAGAATATATTTACTCATTGCCCAGCTCCTATTATCACACATGGCTGACTTTATTTCATCCATACCACTCTATGCCTCCTACCCCTGGATTATTTTAATGTAAATCGTGGATATGTCATATATACATGAGACATAGGACTTTTTATAGTTAACATACTCAGACTCTCCACTGTATTATTTTAGAGTAAATATCTGATATTTCATTTGCGAATAAATGCTTTAGCATGTATCTTTAAAACATACCCATACTAACAAATCACACGTAAAAATTAGTAATTTCTTAATATCAAATATCCAGTCAGTGTCCCAATTTCCCCAATTATCTCATAAATGCCTTTTTATAGTTGGTTTATTTAAATCAGGATCCAAACAAGATTTACATTTGCACCTGGTTGGTATGTCTTTTGTCTCTTTTAAAGTTTATTATATAGTGCCCTGCCATCCTTTTCCAGGCCATTTTATTTATTGAGAAACATATGGGTCATAGGCCCAAGAACTTCCTGATTGCATCCCCATGGTGTCTTTTACCAGGCCTCTCTATTCTCTGTATTTCATTTCAACTGAGATTTAGTTTTAGTGTCTAATCAACTTCAGGTTCTATTATATTTTTATAAGACTATTTCAAATCAACTGTATTATTTTTATAAGCAGACAAAACAATAAAGCTTAAAAAAATTTTAAAGAAACACCAGTCTTTCTAATTCATCCATTTTAGCAATTCATTAAAACGCAGTATCCAAAAGTTTTTTTGGAAGGCAGGCTAAACCAATGCTTTTTCACAGGAAGGATGCTCAGTGACTATTGATGGTCTGATTTATTTTCCAAACACACTGCTTTTACAGTTTAAATCCATCTCCCCTTCTGCCTCAGTGCTGAAGTCCACCATCCTCTGAGCAATGGCACACCCTCCACTGGAAGCTTACATCATCCTATAATTGCAATTGTCTTCAATTTTCCTTTCTTTCTTTTTAAAAATAATGTAATGTAAGCACATAATTGAAAATTTGGAAATGAGAGAAAATGAAAGAAGGAACCACTCTTAATTTCACCCCTCTAACAGAGTCATTGTTACCTATACACTCTGTACCATCTTTATTAGGGATAATATTTTGGACCAAATTGTAATACGTGAATACTGGTTTTAATATCCCTTTCATTAACATTAAATACATTTAAAATATTTGTAGCTTATGTTAAGGGTATAAAAAATAGCAATAATAAATATAGTGTGTCCATAGCCCAGCCTGAGGAAGAGAACTTTACTAATCCCCTACACAGCCTC